TTGACTATCGTATCTAAATTTGGCAGTAAGAAAACTAAAATCACGTGAAGTCCTATTTTTTGAAAAATTTTATTACAATTTTGAATGAATTACAAAATTGCTATTTTGAAATTTGGCTGCATGGCACAGCAATAGGAGGTCTTTAGACCAAGCCAACCATACAAATTATTTTATCATTTTCATCATTTTCGTCATTATTTATAATCACATTTTTGATGATTTAGAAATAACATTCTTGTCTGTATCATAAACAATATACAGTGTGTTGCAAAAAAACCAGAAAATTACTGTTGTCAAAAAACTTTTTATAATATTACTAAAAAATTCATCAACTTGACTCAAATAAATTTTCAAATAAAACTTTACTTTTTTAAATCATTTTAAATCATTTTCTAACTGAATCTGGCAATTAGCTGTTGAGTAATTTGCTTTTAAAATTCACAATATGGTTGAATTTTACTTGCTTTTTTGCAATTATGTTATTAGAATAAATGATACATTTACCTAATCAATATATCAGACCGCTAACACTCCTTTCTCAAATAACTATTCAATATTAATAAGTTGTATGAATGGGTGATGTGACTTATATGAGGGTTAATCATTCAAAGAAACAGAATCACCTTTGGAATCACGTGACACATCACAATTTATTATTATTAATATTATGTACTAGATTTCTTTAAAATTTTTGGTAATTGATTATAAATAATGATAGAAGTTAAAATTTAAAGATGTGAGATGATTCATCATAGAAAAGTGGGAATCCAACTCCTGATTCATTTCTAATCAATTTACTTTGGTAAAAAAAATCAAGATGTCAGCCTGTAATTAAAATCATAGTGAAAGTATTTCATATTAAAATATATTCAATAAAAGTTCTGCCCTTAACCTATTGAATGGAGATATTTCTATACAAATTAATGCAGTAGTTGTTCCATGATGATTAATTTGATTTTTCTGGTTTTTTTTGCAACAAACTGTATTTCATAAGTTACTGTATATCCATCAATTATATCATTTATTATCTCACTGATGATTTAGAAAGAATATTCTTGTTTGTATCATATGCAATATGTTTATATCAGACCCAGACACTTTACCAACACCCACTTTACTGACAAGACACTTTAGCAACAACACATGACGTGATATTTTAGCATTTTGTTAGTTTGTTTGATTGTGTAGAGATTAAATGTAACCTGTGTGTTGTCGGTAAAGTGTCTTGTCAGTAAAGTGGGTGTTGGTAAAGTGTCCCAGACCTGTTTATATTTATTATCTCATTTTTATATCATATCATTTGATCATTTAGAAAGAACATTCTTGTTTGTATTGTAAACTACATTTGTATTATATATATCATTAGTTATATCATTAGTTATATCATTGATTATATCATTTAGCAATTTGTAAAGAATATCCATTGTTATATTGCAAAACAATACATTTATGTATTTTTTAAAACAAACTAGTATAGATACTTATTTAAATAAAGAATAGTAATTTTTTGTTTATCTTCTATTTGTTTTATTAAACGTTATTCATCTTCTGTTTGTTTTATTAAATGATTATTTTATTTTATTAAACGGTTATTCATCTTCCATTTGTTTTATTAAATGGTTATTCTTTTTATTATTTTATAAATAAATATTTTTTTCAAAGTTGGATATTTAAGTTAAAATGTAAAGAACCTATTTTGCAAGTACATCAAACTCTTGCTACTTGGTTAATTATTGAATATTTTAAGCGTAGTATATAGAACGTTTACAAACAGTTGTGTTATAAATTTAAGTACAAAATAATAATTTGCGTTACAACTCGAGTCGGATCTCTTGATAAGTCGGACCATCATGTTCAGTCATCCGAGTCCGACTTATTGAGTTTACCTATGTATATTGCTTTTCAGATTTAGTAAATGTATGAGTATAAAAAATATAAAAGAAATTCTTATTTTGTTTCTGTTATCTTGTTAATATCATAATCAACTAAAACTTCTAATTTGAAAAAAGTATCAATTACAAAATCGTGCCTCAATGTATCATTACTACTACTCATTTTATCATAAAATGTAAAAGAGTTTTTTTAAAAAAAAAATTAGGAACAGAAATTATTTGAAACTCGTAATACAAACTATAACATATGGTAATTATATATTTGTTTGAGGCTGTACTTATCCTTGCTATTATTATTGATAAACAAATGTATATATCTAGAAAAATCATTTTTAATTAATATGTAAATAAGACCAATTAAGACCAATCACTTTAAGTTTTCCTATCAATGTCCCACAATACTTATCTTTAATTTACTGCATTCAATGTATGCGAAGCTTAAAGGCGATTGGGATAAGTGAATATCTGAAAATGAAGTACTCAAGAATTCAGACAAGATATTAAAAATAGATTTCATTTGACATTTAGAAAATCTACACTGCAACATGTATAATGGGTCTAATATCACATTATGATAAGAGCACACAGCTATCATCCTTGAAACAAAATTGTCCAAAAGATTTGGATAATGTAAACAAACCAAACTTTGCTTTTTATTATTATCACAAAGTATTTTAATCATAGTAATAATATTAATTATACATGTGGTTGTTACGCGCGACATCCGGATGTTACATGAACTTTCCAATACATGACATGGACCTGATCTATTGCTAAAACTGATTGGTACAGCATGATGCAGTTTAAACAATTCGAAAAAATTATACTATTACTATTGCTATAAAAAGTAAACGGTAAGGGTCCTGTAAAAAAAATTGATTCGAATGTCCAACACTATAATAATAACAGTACAAATTTTAAATTCAAATTAGATGATAATGTTACACACGCGAATTTCCTTATTAAAAATTAAAATTACAAAACAATAAATAATGCGCATTTGGAAAAGAAATGATTAAATTAGAAATCTTTTTTAATATTACTAAAAAAAAAAAAAAAAATTAAAAAATAAATACAATGAAAATTCTACTATTTTATTAACAACTTCTCCAGTAGTCTTAATAGAGATACAAGCAATTTATCAAATGGTTTTGAGGGTATATAATATGCAATTGCATCGGGTGGTTTCCTTTTGGATTATTACAATGGGTAATAACCATTTGATTTTATATATGTTTGAATACTTTACAGGGACTGATTTAGTGAAAGGTTGGTTTCATGGTGAACTCATTAGTTTACTAGGGGTCAGTATTTTTCTTTTTTGGTATCTTCATAATAAAATTATGTGTGACATTACCTCGTCGTAAAAAAAAAATAAAAACAATAAAAACAATAAATAAAAAATAAATAATAAAATGGTAAAACTCTTCCATTTTCGTTGTACTTTACCATGGCATTCTTATTACTTGAAAATCAATATTCTAAGTTTTTTATATATATATACATACATATTGTATCCTTATTCATAAGATCCGTTATTATTATTATTATATCCAGATATCTTGCTTTTCGATTTAGCAGATTAGTATTATGATGAATTTTTGGAATGAACATACCCGTTTTAAATCGAGCTTCACCGTGTTACGACACGCGCGTTATTTAAAAAGAATTGGTTATTCAGGAAACCCGTTAATCTGAAGGTGTTTGTGTAGCCATTTTCTTCGGTTTAACGGTTAAAAAGTAAAGAACTATGGTTTAATGTGATAATTTTCATATTAATATATTTACATATATTTGGATTTGTGTTTTTAAAAGTTTATTTTGACGCGGTTTGGATTAACGGGGTTACCTATTACTAAGTACTAGGGTCGATAAGGTCAACTAGGACGACGAAGCACAATGGTAAACCTAGTATTAGTCGACAAAGTAGTCTTCTAATTTCGAATTCAATTTGAATAAAAGAAAATTCCGACTCGGGAAATAATTAAATCATACCAAAACTATTCACTAGTAAATACCTATTATTTTTGTGTTATCAATTAAACTCGCTCTCCCAACCCAGAATAAAAATTGACATACATATACTAAAAAGGAATAGAACTACTAGTTTTTTTGAAAAAAATTTTCTATTTAGAGACTTAATCTCCCAATTAATGAAATTAAAAATAGAATAGTTTTTGACTTCTATACTTTTAAAGTTTGCATAGGTCTCTAGAGGCTCCGCACCGTAGTAATTTGACCTACATATTTACGCGATACAAAATTTTATGCTGGTTGTTCAATTTTAGCAGAACTTATGGAAGTACCCAACTTTGAACCTCTCAGCTCAGTATAGAGACATTTTCTGAAAATCAACCAGTAGAGTTTATCTCAATGAACAAAACTATTTGTAGATTTTCAAAATGTCTACCAGGTTGAAAGGTGTCAAAGTCAGGTGATTTATTGTATATTATTATTATATATATTTCTCTCCTAATAAATGAATGTGTGAATTTAAAAATATATAATGACATATTGTTAATATAAAGCATATGAATTTAAAAACAATCTGACGAATTCAGATTAATATTAATATTAATTTTTTCCTTAAGATTTGTCATGCGATTAAGATCACTAGATTCCCAATAGTATATCTATAAAAATAATTTATAATATTAAAAATAAAATTCAATTAGTCGAAAAAAAAAAAATAATCAAAACAATTACCATCTGGTATAACAAGATCATTTTGTTTAGTGTGGTAAGCTAAAAAATAAAAGAAAAGAAATAAATTTCTTGAAAATATATATACAATAATAGCAATAAATGATACACGGTTTAGCGGTTATCAGACCGATTTAATCAGTAAATCCATTATATTGAGAGAATTTACTCTGTTAAATCGAGACTTTTGTCAGGCACCTGCTAAATCAACGTAGTAATAATAATAACAATTTTTACCTTCTTGTTGTTCTAATAAATAAACATCATTTTATAGGTAGTTAATAAATATTTAATAAATTAATAATAGGCCAATTAAATTTAAATAATTTATTAATTCATTCATACCTCGAGAAGCATTTTTTGGAGTAGGAAGATTTGAAAAATGATGATGTTTGCTGGTGAGATCAGTGAAATTAATAGTTACTGAATAATTTATATTTTTTCTATTATTATTATAATCATTGTTGTTATCATTGTTGTCATCATTGTTGTCATCAATGTTGTTACCATCATTGTTGTTATCATTGTTGTTGTTTTCGTTTTTATCACTTTTTAAAGATTTTATTAATTCTGTAGCATTTGATAATCTGTTAAAATTATTTTTAAGGTTTCTAATAAATTTATATCTACTTTTGGAATATCTCAATTTTAAATTTTGATCTGTATTATATAAGTCTCTCAATATTTCTTTTACTTCTATCCATAAAGTTTTTGCGTCAGGTCTATTGTCAGGATTAGCATCCCAGCACTGATTTAGTAATTTTTTAAACTTTTCAGGAAATTTATTTGGAATTTTTGGTCTTATTCCATTTATGATATTTATTGCTAAATCTAAATCACGTGCTTTATTATAAAATGGTGGAATACCAGAAAAGATTTCCCACATTATTACTCCAAAAGCATAAATATCAGATTTCTGAGAGTAATTGCCTTTAGTTATTACTTCAGGAGCCATATAAGGTAAATTACCATATATGCCTCCAATTGGTTTATCTTCTGGACCACAAAAACCCATATCATTAACATAAAAAATATTTGCATGAGAATGAAGTAATATATTTCCAGGATATAAATCTCTGTGAACAAATCCTAAATTATGAATTTCATTAAGATTAAGTATAACACATGAATAATTTTGAGTTTTTTAAATAAATTAAATGAAGAGTAATTTCTAGCCATATATTCTCTCAGGTCATACTTATATTGACTTAAAATAAGCATATGTCCATTAGTTTCTGGATTTTTTGTTAATCCATAACAACCAACAGCATAATCTGAATTCATATTAATTTCACAATGTGATTTAACCTAAAAACAATTCAAAATTAATTAATATTATTATATTTTGAAATAAATTTAATTGTTAAATTTTAAATTTTAATATTACCTCATCTAACCATCTTCAATCATTTTTGTTTGCCTTTCTAAGTTCTTTAAGAACAATTTGATGATCTCCACTTCTTTCTAATTCTAACTTTTTAGAATTCCATTTAAAGTAAGGTCCATCTCTCAAAATTGCAGTATATATTTTTGCACATCCCCCTTCAGCTTTATATTCAATATCACTAAAATTTTCATATGGTATCCATTCTATAACATTACGTGGATTAAATGATTTTTTTTGAAAATTTTGAATTAATTGATCAAATCTCTTCATTTCCTAATGTCCAATTATCAAAATTATTTATCAAGTAATTTTTCACGCAAGATTCACAATATGATATAGCAATTACCATATTTTTACAATGTTTACATTTTCTTCTTTTGTTGCTACCTTCTTTGATATTTCTACCATCTATAAATTATTCACAAAATCATTTATACATAGGTAAACTTGATAAGTCGGATTTGGCTTAACTCAGACAAAATTCTTCAGCCCTTTTTTTTCAATAATTAAAATTTCTTGATAAGTCGGACAACATATATAAACCTTGTTAGGCTGTAAGTCGGATGACTTCACCAGCCAGGTATAATAAATTACTCTTGATAAGTCGGAACACGTGATTTTTTGATAGACAATCTTTACTATTTTAGTAACATATACAAATTATTCGTCATGATGATTTAGAAATAACATTCTTGTTTGTATCGTAAACAATATATTTCATAAGTTATATCCATCGATTATATCATTTATTATCTCATTGATGATTTAGAAAGAATATTCTTGTTTGTATCATATGCAATATGTTTATATTTACTATCTCATCTTTATATCATATCATTTGATCATTTAGAAAGAACATTCTTGTTTGTATCGTAAACTACATTTGTATTATATATATCATTAGTTATATCATTGATTATATCATTTAGCAACTTGTAAAGAATATCCATTGTTATATTGCAAAACAATACATTTATGTATTTTTTAAAACAAACTAGTATAGATACTTATTTAAATAAAGAATAGTAATTTTTTGTTTATCTTCTATTTGTTTTATTAAACGTTATTCATCTTCTGTTTGTTTTATTAAATGATTATTTTATTTTATTAAACGGTTATTCATCTTCCATTTGTTTTATTAAATGGTTATTCTTTTTATTATTTTATAAATAAATATTTTTTTCAAAGTTGGATATTTAAGTTAAAATGTAAAAAACCTATTTTGCAAGTACATCAAACTCTTGCTACTTGGTTAATTATTGAATGTTTTAAGCGTGATATATAGAACGCTTACAACAGTTGTGTTGCAAATTTAATAATTAAGTGTAGTACAAAATAATCATGTTCAGCTGTGTCCGACTTATCGAGTTTACCTATGTAATAAAATTAATTTTAAACCCCCATAACTTTTTATTTTACTAATTAACTTTAAAAAATCACTCTATTACATTGTTGCTTATGTTCCAAAGATTACAAAAATAGAGAGATTTTTATGGACCAACAAATATTTCCAAAGTTATCAGGGTTTAAAGATTTGCAATTTTTTTTTGATATCTTTAGATGCGGTGCACCGTAGTAATAATAAATAAATTAGATAAATCGGATAAACGAATAAATGAATAAAACAAACAAACAAACAATTCGAATAAACTAATAAAAAAACAAATAAACGAATAAAACGAATAAATGAATAAAAAACCGCATAAAATGAATAATTCGAATAACCAATAATTCGAATAAACGAATGAGAAGAATAATTCGAATAAACGAATGAAAGAATAATTCGAATAACTGGGTTGTATTAAGGGACTTAATTCAATATAATAAAGATTTTAAACATTTTGTATTGTTCTCATTTGAATTTTTGGAATTTTTTAGTCTCATATTATTGATTATGATTTAAATGTACTAAAATTCAAGCATGTTATACAATTTATTATAGTTTATTATTGTTTTATTTCTATAATAATTATTCAATTATTTTCAGTGGTCCGCAGATTCATGATTTTATAAAAAAATAATATGAATTGGCTCAAGTCAACTTTGAGTCAGCACTTTTTTATATGTTAGCTGGCTCGAATTCGAATATTCCAGTCAAGCTGAATTCGAGCTAAATATAAACTTGGCTCAGCTCGTTTGGAGATTGAAAAATGGTCATATTTTAACAGTCTTTGCTTAATACATAAAATTTGTTTTTATTATAATAAAAATATAATACTCTCTGTATCCATAAACTAGATGCATTATATATTCAAAAATCTCTCTTTTTCATGGATTAGTTGGTTACATTACAAAAGTATGTAATTTCTTTTTAATTTGTCAATCACCTCAAAAAAATATCTTGTGACCTTATTTAATTTTGATTAATTATCCAGACCCATTTGCATATGAAATTCGGGAGCTTGGGCTTTGGGACTTTTAAATCTCTCAATCTCAATGATTTTAATCTATTTGAATTTGGAATTTTGGACTGGGCAATAATTCGAGTAGCAAGTATATTATTATCCAAATATTTCCAAGTATTTTGAATAACAAATTGTTTAGGTAAAATTTTGTATGTCCTCAACTATTTCGACTTGCATTATTAATAATTTTTTAAATGTGTTCTGAAAATTTGATTCACATAATTATAAAAACCAAGATTTGCATTAATACAATTAGTTGCTTAATTTGATGGCCACATACAATAGAATTTTCCCTGGCCCTGTTCAACTACCAATTAAAGGAAATCATGTGATTTATGGTTTGACCCATGCTATGATTGGTCAATTAGATAAAGTCTTCCCAAGTTTGGTAATAAGTTTTCCAAATTTGGTAGTTTTCAATAAACATTGCAATTTTTAATGGTAAATTTTCTACTATAATAATAAGGGATTGACCCAGCTTGCTTGCAGTTATCTGGTTTCAATACTTGTTACCAATAAGACTGAAAAAACATCAACATGATCTTATGTTTATTTATTTTTATTAATAAAAAAATTCTTTACAAACAATATTAGTTATTAGTGTAACAAAAATAACATTGCAGTAAAAAAAAAGTATAAATTTAAAAAAAAAAAAATAGAGTAAATTTTTTTTTAACCACCACAGCCACAAGTTTAATTAAGTTCATCCTTTGAACCAAGGCTATTATTTTTCATTAATTGATATAAACTTTATTTCACTCAATTACTTTTAAAGATGAGTAAAGACGACGAATACGATTATCTTTTTAAAGGTTTGTAAAATAGAATTAAATGTGTTTCTGATGAGGACGACATTGTTCATCTGGAAAATTTTTTTTTTGAAAAAAAATTTATAATGATACAAAAAAACTTGTATAAGGCTTTTATTTTATTTTGAAATTTGAATTCAATAAAGACAACTGGCTTTTTTTTTTTGAGATGAAAAAAAAGGCTCATAAAATAATTTAAAATGGAAATTATTAATTTTTTAAATATCTATTTAATTAGTTGTCTTAATTGGTGACTCTGGTGTTGGTAAATCCAATCTTCTTTCTCGTTTTACACGTAATGAATTCAATTTAGAGTCAAAATCCACTATTGGTGTTGAATTTGCTACTAGAAGTATTCAAGTTGATAATAAAACAATTAAGGCACAAATTTGGGATACAGGTTCTTATCATTTATAATTCATTTATATTGTTAATGTTTAACTTTATTAATTAATTGACGAATTCCATATGTTTTTTAGCTGGCCAAGAACGTTATAGAGCAATTACAAGCGCGTATGTAAAGATTATTATTATTATACAATCAATTTTATTAAAAAAAAACAAATAAATAATAATAATTATTTTTTTCACCCCCAACTCGATAATAATAACAGATATTATCGTGGTGCAGTAGGTGCTTTACTTGTTTATGATATTGCTAAACATGTGACATATGAAAATGTTACTCGTTGGTTAAAAGAATTAAGAGACCATGCTGATAACAATATTGTAATTATGCTTGTTGGAAATAAAAGTGATTTAAGGCATCTTAGAGCAGTTCCAACTGAAGAAGCTAAACAATTTGCTGGTTTGTAATAAATTTAGTTAATTGATGGTTATATGAATGATCATGATGATAATAATAATAATAATAATAATATATATATATATATATAAATTTATTATTACCATTATAAACAGCTGAAAACAATTTATCATTTATTGAAACGTCTGCCTTGGATGCTAGCAATGTAGAACTTGCCTTCCAAAACATTTTAACAGGTAATTTATGATTTAACTAATTCGATTAATTAATTTGATTAAAACAAAAAAATTTTTTTAATTAACTTATTTCCCCTTGTTTTTAAAAATAAAGAAATATACCGTATTGTATCCAATAAAGCTTTGGAAAACAACAACGGTGATATTGCTAGACCAACTGCCGGTGAAACTATTCAAGTCACCTCAATGCCTGATGATGCTAGTAAAACAACTGGCAAATGTTGTTAAACAATAGATAATAAATGAATAAATAAATTGATGAATTAACGAATACATTAAAATATTTAAGCTAATAATAATTATATTATTATATAATTAATCTTTATCATATATTCCATTTATTCATTCTCGATTTATTTTTATTGTAATGATATATTTATTATTAATTTATTTTTGAAAATAATAGTAGAAAAATTTATTTATTTATTATTCCAATGAAAATAAGAAAGTATAATAAGATTTATTATTTAAGATCCCTTTTGTTATTATACATTATATAGATATAATAAATAATAAATAAATAAAAACTTTAAGCAACTTAATTGATTGGATTTCTTTATTAACAGATAAAATAATATTATACTTAGCAGTCGAGATAACTTTTGCATAGAGTTATATTTAGACAATTATGATGAAATAATAATATGAGTCTTGTAAGAAAATAACATTGCCCTAGTAAAGATCTCACTGACTATAAGTTATCATCATTATTATAAAAAACATTTATTTTCATATAGTGTCATATAATGAATTATTATTGCCAAAAAAGGAGGAATTTGTATATAAAATTTATACTGAGGTATTTGA